AACTTGTGAGCGGGACATAGAATCACCTAATCTGAAATCAGTTGATCATAACCTGGGACAGACCTCCTGAAATAGAAGGTGAAGAGCTATGCAGGGAGGCACAAAATATTTCTTATGATACAACTATGAGGAAAATAGCCAAGGGCCAAAGCCACACAAACACAGACTTGTACCTTCATCTTTGTATCTGAAAAAGAGCAAATGAAATACAATATGACAACTTACCCTACCTAAAAATGAGATAATCCTGATTTTTATAAAGATATATACTTTTATTCAAGAACTATAGAAGTTAAATATTCAAGTGTCCTCTTTCATGTCAAATTAACATAAAATCATAAACTTAGGTAATACACTTCACAAGTCTTTGTATAAATATGACTCCTATACTCTTCACTTGAAATATACATCATTCAATGTGATAACATGTGTCAATCTTGTAAATCTCTTAAGTCACACTCTTCAGACATCTTGATTTTAACAAAATACGTGAATTCCCTAGTTTGTTCACCTAATGCATCTAAGCTCATAAGAGCATATTCAGAAGCACGCTGAGAGCTGTATCCTGTCTTCACTTATCACAACTGTTTTGAATGGGTCTTTTAACTAACCTCTTCAAATTACATCCATACACCAAACTAAGAGGAACTGATTACATGGCATTGTCAGAAATCCATTAAAAGGATTCCACAGTAAGCACAGCAGAGCGCTTCTGTGATCATCCACACATCAAGGAAATCCTAAATATTCTTTCAGATGGTTAGTTTTAGATCCTTTACACATATGTTTCTCTTAAAGCAACTGCATACAATAAATTCTATGGGAAATGTAAGGGGAAATTCCCTATGTTGAAATTATTGGGAATAGCAGTCTAACTAGTGAGAACTCTATAATATTTATACATTAAATTGAACCTTTTAATCTTCTACATTATATAGTCAGTAAAACATTTAATATGGTTGAGTAGATACCTAGGCCCTGATAAAGTTAATAGCTATTTTGTTTGCGACACTATTATAAATCAATTATATAGCAATGGGTGCAATAAAATATAAACTTTAGCTTTGAAATTTTTATTATTTTGAATTTAGAAAACTCCTCATAGAGCATATTATCTACACATTCAGTTAGCCATGTCAGAATTACCACAGATTACATACTAGCAGAAGGCTTCACCATTTTATAGACCATTTGTTACTTCATAACAAAATTGTTGATAATAAAGGCACTCAAGGAAGAAAGTATGGAATGCTATCTCTACTCCTCTAAGATTTTGAAAGCATCCTGAGTACCAACTTGTTCCCTGAAGATACTGAAATACCAGACAAAATAGACATCATAAATACTGTGTCTATACTCTTCACTTAAAGGGGAGAGACCTGAGACCTAGGTACACTCAGAGTTTTAAATGCACATGCTACAATTTAAAGGCTGAGAAACAATGATTTAAGCATTCAGAAGTTTAAAAACTAATAAATCAAGCCCAAAGGAAGTACAAGAACAAAATATTAAAGAAAAAAATCAGCAATTACTAAAATGAAAGAAAAACATAATAAAAGTAGTTCTTTGAGTAGAACAAAATTATTAGCTGTGTATGGTGGTACATATCTTTAATCTGTGTACTGGGAGGCTGAGGCAGGCAGATCTCTGAGTTTGAGATGAGCCTAATCTACATACATAGCCAGTCCTTGGACAGCCAGGGCTACAGAGACCTACTTTGTCTCAAAACACAAAACAAACAGAAATAAAAGTGAGACCATCATTTACTTTATATTCCTGGGATTACATCCATATGGTTACTGCACTCCATCCCTTTTGTGCATATTTTTGTGTGCATGTTTACAACTGTGTGGGTGCATCTGTTTGTGCATGTGCAGGTTGAGGTCCAAGGTTGATGGTGGTAGTCTTCCTAGGTTCCTCTCCACCTTATTCATTGAGGCAGGTCTCTCAAGTGAGCTGAAAATTTACCAACCTGGCTAGTTTGCTAGCTAGGCGGCTCTGCATCTCTCTTGCCTCTGGCTTTCAAGGGATGGAATTATAGGTAGGCTACTGTATGTGGCATCTATGCAGGTGCTGGGGAATACAAGGATCTCAACTCTGCTTCTCATGCTTGTATAAAATGATGTAATCACTGAGCCATCTCCTTAACTCCATACTATCCATACTATCTTTTTTACGTTGTTGGATATGTGTGTGTGTGTGTGTGTGTGTGTGTGCATGCCAGCATAAAAGTATCTATGTGTGCTGACACATATTCACCCTTTTAATTTTTTTTTTTTTTAATTAACACGGAGCTCTCACTGGCATGAAGCTTGCCTTGTAAAGTAGGATGGCTGGCTAGGAAGTCCCAGTGATCTGCCTGCCCATCTCCAACTACTGGATAACAAGCACAGACCGCTATGCCCAGGTTTCTTATGGATTCCAGCGACTGACTCAGGTTCCAGCTCTCACAGTGTGAACACTTTACTAAGCCACCCTCTTGACCCTGTCATTGGATTTCATTTGTTACTGTTTGTTATTAAATTTTGTATTATGATTTGTGTGTGTGTGTGTGTGTGTGTGTGTGTGTGTGTGTGTGTGTGTGTGCTGGGCAGTGGTGTTGCATGCCTTCGATCCCTGCACTCAGGAGGCAGAGGCAGACAGATCGACAGATCTCTGCGAGTTAGAAGCTAGCCTGGTCTACAGAGTGAGTCAAGGACAGCCAAGGCTACATGAGCAACTTGATTTCAAGAAGCAAATAGCAAATAAACAAAAAGGATAATTTTTTGTATCCCTATTCATAGAAAATAATAAACTTTTAAAATTTTCTTTCATTATGCAGGTTTGTTGACAAAAAAATAAGCCTGTTCCAACAATGTATTTTCCTTTATATTAAAGAGTATTTTTTCTTAATATGCTATTCAAAACTTTGTTCATTTAGCACAAAGCAATCATTTTACTGAATTGTTTCATATTTATTGCTCCAGTCAACAGTCAATAACACTTTTATTATTGTTGTCCAATATGAAATGTGCTTTTTCTTCAACTTCAATGGTTTTCAATATTTCTACTTGGTTTTTAGCCCTCTGATTAAGACATGGTATGTTTTGATTTTCTGTTTATCATGCTTGGGATTCATTGGGCCATTGGTGGTTTCATGCTATTACATTAAATTTGCTTCTGTGTTGCTTGGGTGTTGCTTCTGTCATCTCTTCAAATATTTTTCTGTTTTACTCTCTTCCCACCTCTCAGACTCTGGCTGCTGATACATGATGTTGCTCTTTTTCAAGGTTGTCATTCTGGGCTGAGAATTCCTAATCACTGTTTTGTTTTGCTCAGTTCCCTTTTTGAATACTTGAAAATATTTACAGCAGCTATTTTATAATTGCTTCATGCTAATTTCATCATTGTGAGAACATATTTATTAATTTTCTTGCTTCTATGTCCTGTATCTACTTGTTGAAAGATCAATCTTTTCAAGGCATTCTTCACTGCCTCCCAAATATCCATCTTTTTTATTTCTAAAGTTATCTTGCATGAGAAAGAAGCTCCAAAATTATATAAATGATGAGTTAGGTTCTTCCCATTTTGCTTTTTATGCCTCTGTTCTTTCCTCTGGTTGGACAGTGCAGTCACAATGCAGAACAGGCTGCTGTCCAACCTCAGTCCTCCTGCATCAGCCTCCCAGTTCCGGATAACAGGTGTGCGCCACCTCCACCAGCAGCAAGCTTGTGTTCTCCATGATCTCTTGTTAACCTTAGGATGGGTCCAGAGTGGCTCAGGAAAGGATGAAAGAACCCTGCTTCTAAGGCATATGGCTATATAGGCTATGGTCTCATCTCCACAGCACCCACAGCAGGCTCAGGTGACGTCACGGAGCTTGCAGATCCCAAAGGGCTGTTCAGTTCCCAGGACTTGTGAGTCTGTCCAGGTCAACTGCTCTTCCCAGCCTAGGACCAGTCAGGGGCATAAATCCCAAGAGGGATTTTTTGTTTTGGTTTGCTTTGTTTTTATTGTTTTTACCATACTTTCCTTTAGTCCTTCCTCAACTTTCTTTTAGTCCTTTCTCTTTGTCCTTTGACCTGCTAGCTGTTCCTACTCTCCTAAAACTTTCTCTCAGGAACTCACAATTACTTAGCAAAGAGCTCAAACCAGATATTCATCCTTTTAACCCAGTCTGGTGCTCTTTCCAGGACACAGCGTCTGTTATCCACTGGGATCAACATGACAACTCTCGACACTGCTTTTAAACTGCTCAGTACTTGGTATATTTCTTGTGTCCTGATTTAGTCCAGTACTTAGCTTCTGGTGGACCTACTACCTGCATCTTATTTCTACACTGAGAACCGGTGCACTTCTAAAGCTCAAACTAACTCATGTCGGGAAACTTCATGTGCTTCAAAGTTGTCCCTGAATCAATACTCCAATCACACAAAACTAAATCATCCACACAATGTCATAAGAAAGGCAAGAGATAGTATGTCCCCTCCACAGTCTTTGCTCCTCATCCCTCAATGTGGCCTTGTCAGCTGGCTTAGCTTCTGAACCCCAGCAGGGCCTTGGGAATTTCTTCTCACTTGAGTATCTTGATGTTGATGAGATCTGCTTCATCCCTTTATCCACAAAATAAATCTTGTGTTGTTTTATTACCTTTTTAAAAAGATTTATCGTGTGTGTGTGGCATGTGCACGCACACGTATGCCTGAGAATGGGCACCATGCATGTGCAGGGGCCAGAAGAGGATGGCAAACCTCCTAGAACTGGAGTGCCAGGTGGCTATATGAGCCACCATGTGAGTGCTGGGAACTGAACCCGGGTCTTCTGGAAGAGCAGCCAGTGTTCTTACCCCTGAGCCATCATTGCTCTTCACCACCTTCTAAGGAAAGGAAAGCCATGAGCAGGAGGTATGGGAAGGAGCTGATTTATGAAGCAGGCTTTTAAGGAAGTATATTTAACTCACAGGAGGAGAGAGAGGAAGAATTTGGTCAGGGCTTACGGGCACAGGGCTGTGACTCTCCTACCTGTGCAGCTGGATATACTCTCGCGGTCTGTTGAGTAGGTGGAGGAAGCGGTCCACGATCTTGTTCTTCCCTACACCCTGCAATTACACAAACAGCATTAAGCACATGGCAGCTTTGGTCTGGAGGTACCTTTCTGGCAGCCATTTCTTCACAGTTCTACTACTTTTGTTGGTAAGAAAAACTGAACCTGCACACAAGTACAGCACACCTCCTGCGACACAGGGGCCACTAAAGGATCTGACTCCTCAGCATGGCACCGCATGCTGCTCTTGTGAGAGGAAGTTCAGATGCCAGTGTCTGCCTCCAGACCTTTGGTTTAAGTTTCACAGTTAAGTCTCACATTACCACAGGACACTGAGGACTTCCAGTTACAAAATGGTGTCACACACAATCATGTACATATAAAGATAATGGTCTTTCTTCAGTTCCTCAGAAATATATTTTTCAGTCACAGAAAGATAAATAGAATACTGTACTTTTTTCTTGATTTAAGCCTGTACTCTTTTCTTCTTTATTGCACTTTTTAAAATCTTTTAAAACTCTGGAACTCTAGCATTGGTCACATTAATGTAACCCAATGGTATGCACTCTTCTTAAAGGTACCTTCATTTCCTGCCCTCTTACTCATGCTGGAGGTACTGACCTTTTGTGTAAGGCAGACCATGCTCCCTTGTCATTTGCCTACTTGAAGGTTTTCACTGAGCACCTCAATACAAATAAAGGCATACAAACCTAACCACTGGGCTGTGTGTGAAGACCAAAGTTAAAAACCTAAGTTCAGTATCGTGGAAAATATCAGTAACAGCATTAACTTCTTATATTTTCTCCGGGGTCTGTCTTCAGTGTTGTCATGTGTCATTTAATCACCACACAAATGTGGAACCGTCAGTTAGGAAATAAGATTGTCTGAATCTCACAAACCCAGAAAGTTAAGCCAGGTGCCAATAGTCACAGTCAATGACAGAGCCAAGACTCGATATTGGTGCATTTGATTCTGATGCTTGTGTGCTTAGTTTTGTGTATGAGTTGTATATTTTTTTGAATTTTATTTTTTTTCTTATCAGTTATATTTTATTAACTCTGTATCCCAGCCGTGTCCCGATCCCTCATTCCCTCCCAGTCCCTCCCTCCCTCCCTCATCTCCTCCGTACCCCTTTCCAAGTCCACTGATGGGGGGACCTCCTACCCATTCATCTGATCCTGTTTTATCAGGTATCTTCAGGACTGGCTGCAAAGCTCTCCTCTGTGGTCTAACAGGACTGCTCCTCCCTTGGGGGGTGGGAAGGCCAAAGAGCCAGTCATTGAGTTCCTGTTAGAAATAGTCCTTGTTCCCCTCACTATGGGAAAC